ATTCTCTTGCCTTTCCTGTTCTTGCGAACTCTTTGTTTACCACGTCTTAGCCGCAAAGAAAAAGAGAGGTTGAAAGGTCCAAAGGAAAAGGACAACAAGGAAAAAGGGCGTGTTTACCTCAGAAAGGACAATGTGTGGTTAAAATGCAATCTCATCGATTCACTTGTCCAACACACAAACACACTCTGACATTGGTTTTCAGTTAACTCAATTTCCAAGAAAAATGGCGGTGGAACGGCACGGTGAAAGGTCCGATGAGTTGAAGGTGTTTTAACAAATGGTTTCCTCACAACTGCAGTGACAAGCTGTAAAACGCGCGGCTGCTGAAAGTGGCTGAGAGAAAATGGTTTGAGGGGCAGGTAGCATGAAGGACCATGAATCAAACCGATCAAATTAGACAGCGTGTTCAAAAGTTGTAGCAGGTGCACAGGGATGATCAGTCCCTGCTTCCCCTTCTTGCCCACAGCTTCGTTGCGTGTGGTAGGACAAGAAGGCCACACGCCCCTGCTGGCTGGAAGAGTTGGACACCGTTGTAAAACCCTTAGAAACAGGGTGTGACACACACACACACAGGATCAGATCGCACAAGAACTATATTTGATGTTTTCTTCTGTCCTTTCTTTGTTTCTTGATTTCGCATGACACCCAAGCAGGATGCATGAAATCTGCTTAGCTCCCCCGATGTGTAGGGGCGTTAGAACCAATACCTCTGTGAGAGTGTCCGACATGCGTACGGTGATGTCCCCGGTGGAGCTGTGGCCAGTTCCATCTTGGCCGTTTTGGTTCCATCGCAGAGTTTGATTGCGGAGAGGATTGAGGGTTCAGTCCTTATGATGCAAGTGACATGGCGGAAGGACACTCATGCACTCTGCGCAGAAATTGCTGTAGTTGTGCAAAGGCGATCGCTGCCAGCGCTGCCACAGATGACACGCATCACTTTGAAGGAATTCAGCTTTCGGAGAAATCTAGCGTCTTTGCTACTAGTAGCGATGCCAGGAGCTACTAGTAGCGTCCTCCTAGTAACAAACCATGGACAAATCAGATGGACGACAATTCTCCACGACTGCTATGAATCACATCACATGCACTTCTAGGGCGAACACCCATCACCTTTCTAATGCACATCAAGCTGCGCTGTGTCACACACTTCTCACACCTCCTGCCACTTCGCCGCGTGACACACCACCTGGTTAACAGTCACCGATCCCCGTCATTTCAAGAAACGCTTCCGTTTAGGGCCTCAGGCCGGGTCCGTTAAGGTCCGTTCCGAGAAAAGCACTTGATCAAAAACAACCTTCTCACTACTCCTTGCTACTGACTTTCTACTTTGGCCACCACTTGCTGTAGAATGGAATTTCCATGAAAGTAGTTTGTACAAAGAACAGCGTGCAAAGAGCACAAAGGTAACCTTAGTCCGCTTTAGATAGGTTCTTCTTCTAGGCGAGCGGCGAGCGGTTTCGGTCTGCAGAACCCGTGTTCGGCGAGGGGCGCACCCTTCCGAGTGCCTCGGTGCAGCGAGCTCCTCGAGGACAGAGAGGCCACAGTCAGGGTCCTCAAATGAACATCTACAGCCCTTTCAATACCTTTGTTGTTATTGTTTTCTCTTTATATTGTTTGTTTTGTTATTCTTTTCTTTGAGATCCGTAGACCTTTTCTTTTTTCCTTCCATTCCTTCCTTTACGTTTGAACGCATTCTTACAGATTCACAGATGAGATCCAGGTAGCTTGGCCAGTTCCACTGGCTATGCCTTTCATGCAGCCAACAGCTCAAGCATGCTTTGACGTCGTTGTGTTTATTTCGGTTTTGATCCAACTTGATCGAATCCCCACTCCGAGATCGTGGCAAGCGGTGCCTGTGGAGCATGCGCACGAGGAAAGCGGTCCCGTGATATGGCTGCATCACTGCGACAAATGTAGCTTCTGCTTTTGCTAGGTTGGAGGCCATCGCTTCTAGGTTTTCTTGCTTTAGACCTTTAGACCTTCCCCGTTTTTTCTCAAACATTTTTTGTTTTATGAGTACAAATCGTACAGGAGTACCCGAGTAGGTAGCGAGGCCACCTCATGCAGAGCACTGCGTGGGAGGCAAAGTAGAGTGAGCGTTTGAGGAAGCTTCGTTAAAGGATCCTCGATGCAAGTTTTAGCTTTTGAGGCAGAGCCGGCTGGGGTTAATGATGGCCATTTCCAAAGCATGGGGTTTCTTGGTGTACTTGTGCATGTGGAACAGCGAGGCTTTGATGCTCTCCCTAGAAAACGATTCCTGAAGGATTGCTTTGGTGCTTCGGTTTTTGAGGTGCTCGAAGAGCGACGAAGGCACATATGTCACAACATGCAACTCTCCGCGACATCGCTAGTAGGTTGGAGGCCATTGCTATTCGGTTAAAGGCATGTATTTTCTTACATGTAAACACATGCTCTGTGGTTGCTTTGGTGTTCACCCCTGCGTGTGTTCTGAGTGGCTCTTCGTGAGGCCGTTGGCTTGGAGGAGCCTGTGGAGGCTAAACCGAGTTCTTTCAAGACAGTTTTTGTGAGTTTAGCTTCTTTTTGGAAGAGGTTCAGCAAAATCTCTGATGTTCAGACTACCAATATCTTGCTTGCCCAGTTTAGGTCTTTGTTGCGTCTAACGCTTTGTCCAGGTTTCGCCCGCAAAGGCGGGCCGTCGCTTTGAATGCTTCAGTCCTTGTGCTCCATCTAGCACCAGACTTGCAGGTGGAGGCTCTGAAGAAATTGATCAAGAATGCGTTGGAGGCAGGCCCAAACGGCGTAGCTGCGCCAGAATCTTCCCATCTAGAACACATAGAAAACCGCAAGGACGGGTCAACAGACCAGAAATGACGAGAAAGAAATCACAACGCTGCGAAAGCAGTCATAAACGGCAGCAACGGGAGCAGCGACAAGAAGCAGAAGAAAGAGGAAAGAAAGACAGCAAAACGAACGAACGAACGCACGCAAGCAAGCAAGCAAGGAGGGAAGGAAGGAAGGAAGGAAGCAAGCAAGCAAGGAAGCAACAGAAGCACCCAGAAAGACGAGAAGGGGAGACCCACAATCACCATGAACCCGTAAGCTGACCCTGTGCTCAAGTTGTAAAGCGCACTTTCAGAATCCAATTTTCAACTACCCAAAGTACCTCCAAAGTACCTTGACCTTGTTCAAAAACGTCTATTTTTTACAGTGTTTTTTTTTCAAACAACTGGTTCGCTTTGGTCATTTGGTCCCGCTTCGGACCTTGGGGCCTTTCTTCAGACTCGTCCTTTTTAGGTCTTTTAAACGTTTGTTTAGCCCGCCTCCCTAGTTAATCAAGTAGGCGCCTACTTAACTAAATAAGGAGGTAAGCTACTATAGCTACTTAAGCTGTTTCTTTATTTTCTGTGTTTCTCCTTTCACTTCAGGTGAGGAAGCAGCCACAGCAGCTGGAGACCTTCCTGCGGGTGGTGCAGGTCCAGCGGTCCAGTGGAAAGTGGCGTGATGAAGTCGTGAGCTTCTGCCATCGCAATCCCCCCTAGAAGCGTCCTTGCTCCTAGTAGCGATGCCAGGAGCCCCTAGTAGCATCCTTGCTCCTGAAGCTTTACAAGAAGCTACTGGTAGCAAGGTGCCTTACTACTAGTACTCCTGGCCTCGCTACTAGGAACAAGGACGCTACTAGGAGCAAGGTGGCCTTACATTTGGGTCTCTTCCAGTCACACTGAGATTCTCAGGCCAGTGGCTACAACCTCCTAGACCTTGACAAGGACGACTGGAGAGAGGTTAGGTGCTGAGTCGTCGTGTTTACCCACTGCTGCGCTCGCCCCCTTAGCACAGGTGGCGGGGAATGGGCTGTATCACGGTTTGGGTGACAACGGATCATGATCGAATGAAGCGAAAACGTAGAAGCAAAGCGAACTCAAGCACCAGCAGCACGAATAGCCTTTGCTTTACGGTTACCCTCTTTGACCTCTATGCCAGTTACCTGTACTACTTCAAAGAAAGCACTCATTCTTTTTGCAGAAGCCTTTGTCCTCTTTGCATCTCTGCATCGACCCAAGTGCAGCAAGCACAACAGCATCGACAGAGCTCCTCGCAGATTGGGGGCGACCTTCATCCATTCCTGCTGCCACTGGCATGAGGCCAAGGTGTTGCTATCAGCGAGTTCTGAATCGACTTGAGAAAGGAGACAGTCATCAAGTCAGCACATGCAGATGGCTACCATGTGTTGTCCCACGTGTTACACCTTCGGCCAAGGCAACAAAAGGAAGTTTTGATGACGATTTGGAGGCACTTCGGCCTCGTGGCCCCAAAAGCTGAAAGCAAACGGTGTCCGTGTCCTTCAACCAAAAGAAAGAAACCAACTAGCGATGGCCTCCGACCTAATAGCCTTGGCCTCCAACCTATATAATAGCAAGGGCCTCTAATAGCGATGACCAGCAACCTGTTAGCAAGGAACATCAAGTCGATTGCTTTGCAGGTCCTGGGTCTTTTGATCCGTGCTCCGAATGGGAAAGAATTGTCACCGGACGAATGGCAGGCGACGGCCCCAAGCGATTCAGTTAGGGCGTGTGTTCTTTTCCTTTGGCTTTTAGGACATCGTCCACAATCAAGCAGACAGACAGCAGGTTTTCTCCCTTTGCCTTCCTTTCAGGTAGTCAGACAGAAGCCACGCAAGTCCAAAGTTGTCGGGATCGTAGAAAACATGCTTGGTGTTTGGGCTAGTAACAAGAAGCTACTAGTAACAGGTGCCACGCTAGTAGTAACAGGTGCCTTACTAGTAGTAACAAGGACGGCACTGTGGCACCCGAAACACAGTGAAGGGATGAGATGTTTGTGAAGGTGGAGCTTCTGGCAGATGATGTGGGTAGGCAGGGAGCAGCAGTGAGAGCATGAACTGACGCCTCTGAACAGAGCTCTTTCACATACGGTGTTAGGCCTTGCACGAGCGCATATGGTGTAAATGATGTTCAGAATAAACATTCTAAAGGACTTAGAAGCCTTCTTAAATTAATTGTCTC